ACCTTAAAAAATCTCCTTGTAATCTTCTGTAATTATTGAATGACGCTTTTCAGCTTAGCCCTAAATAAAGCACAGTTTAAAAAATGTTTTGTGGTTTCTTATTCTTTCCCAAGCGTTTTTTTGGGGGGATTTTAGCAATAAAATAAATATACAAAAGGGGTTTTTAGGTCATTTACGGAAGTGGTGGCAGAAGACCCGTTAAACCCTTTGAGGACCGTAAGATTTTGGAACGCCAAAAGAATCAATTTTTTTGTTTTTAAAGTTCGTACACTTCAGTTGCTGTAACTATTTCATGAAATAATTGGCAAAAAGCTAGATCCGTTTGTTGTTTGTTGATAAAAACTAATATTTTGACTCTAACCAAAAAAAAAAAAAGAGTTTTAAGTTCTTAACCATTAGCCGCCCGGCCAATGGCCGTTTGGCGGCTTCAAAAGTGCTGCTGCACTCCGGGTGCACGCCATTTGGCGTGCTCCCGCACATGCGCAGTTGGCGCTAATGCAGAGCGGCGCAGCAGCGCGATCTGTCACCGGCCGTGCACCTCGGACACGGCCGATGACAGATCTGAGAGTACCGGCCCCGTTGCTGGTGCCATGTGACCTGCTGCGACCAATCACAGCAGGTCACATGACAGTTTGTATACAATGGATGACTTCATTCATGCCATCCATTGTATACTAGTGCCTAGCTGTGAATGGTCACAGCTAATCACATGCATGCATGTCATGTGATTAGCTGTGACCAAATCACAGCTAAGCACAAAAAAAAAAAAAAAAAAAAAAACTGAATGAATCGATTTCATTCAGGTAAATGCTTGCTTATAGCAAAGTAATTGTTTGCTATAAGCAAATTGTGTAAAAAAAAATATACTGATCACTTCCCCAAAGTAGTACAATGTTACTAAGGTAACATTGTACTACTTTGGTCATAGTAAAATATGAAAAAAAAATCTTAAAAAAAAATAAAAAAAAATGTAATAAAAAATTAAAAATAATAAAAAAAAATTTTAAAAATTTTTTTAAAAAAATATATATTTTTTTTTCATACTGTCACCAGTCAGTGTCCCTGTTCACCGCCATGCCAGTTATAGGATGACGCTGTACTGCACTGGTGACAGTATGTAAAAAAAAAAAAATAGTGAAAATAATTTTTTTAATTTTTTCATTTTCCGAAAAATTATGACAAAGAAATACAACTTCAAAAAACTCGCCATTCCTCTTATGAAGTACGTCGGACTGTCTACTCTGCAAAAAGGGGTCATTTGGGAGATATCTGTACTGTTCTGATATTCTTGGACCTCAAGAAATTAGATTGGCTGTCAGTACTTCAGGATTGATCAATATTCAGATCTATACCATAGTTTGTGAACTCTATAACTTTACTACAAACTAAATAATACATCCTAATTTGGGTTATTTTCACTAAAGACATGTAGCAGAATACATCTCGGCCTAAATTTATGAAGAACAATTATTTTATTTGTAAACTTTTATAACAGAAACAAAGAAAAATGTGGTTTATTTTCACAATTTTTGGTCTTTTTTTGTTAATTTAGCAAAAAATAAAAACCCCAGCGGTGATTAAATACCACCAAAAGAAAGCTCTAGTTGTGTGAACAAAATGATAAAATTTTAGTTTGGGTACAGTGTTGTATGACCGCGCAATTGTCATTCAAAGTGTGAGAGCGCTGAAACCTGAAAAATTGCCTGGGCAGGAAGGTGTAAAATTGCCCGGTATTGAAACGGTTAATCAGATGATACACGCAATTAAAAACATGGGACAAATACGTCCCTTGGTCCTCAAAGGGTTAAGGTCATCAGAAATATCACTTTATTTAATTTTTATAATTTTTCGGAGCTCCTCAGTACAGTGAACAAAACAAAAAGTGAACCGTGAAATTGTAGCACAAAAAAAAAAAAAATCAAAAATGGTCTAAAAAAAGGGTTTCAATATGACCCAAGGTTATAGGTGCAGCATTAACACATCTAATAAATTCAAAATTTGATTGCCAAAATTTTTTTATCATTTTTGGAGCTCCGCAGTACAATCCCCAGTGAACGAAAAAAAAAAAAAAGAACTGTGAAATTGCAGCACAAACAAAAGCGTAAAAATGGTATAGAAAAGGACCAGCCTCCAAAGAGGAAGTTTCAATATGACCTAAGGTTATAGGTGCAGCATTAACACATCTATTGAATCCAAATTTTGGCTGCCAATTTTTTTTTTTATCATTTATGGAGCCTCATACTACAATGCTTAGATCCCCAGTGAACAAAAAAAAAAACAAATTGCAGCACAAAAAAAGCATAAAAATGGTATAAAAAAGGGCCAGCCTCCAAAGAGGAAGTTTCAATATGACCCAAGGTTATAGGCACAGCATTAACACATCCAATAAATTCAAAATTGGATTTCCAAAATTTTTTTAACATTTTTGAAGCTCCGCAGTACAATGCTTAGATCCCCAGTGAACGAAAAAAAAAAAAAACTGTGAAATTGCAGCACAAAAAAAGCGTAAAAATGGTATAGAAAAGGGCCAGCCTCCAAAGAGGAAGTTTCAATATGACCCAAGGTTATAGGTGCAGCATTAACACATCTATTGAATCCAAATTTTGGCTGCCAATTTTTTTTTATCATTTACGGAGCCTCGTAGTACAATGCTTAGATCCCCAGTGAGTGAAAAAATAAAAGTGAACTGTGAAATTGTAGCACAAAAAAAAAAAGCTTAAAAATGGTATAAAAAAAGGGTTTCAATATGACCCAAGGTTATAGGCACAGCATTAACACATCCAATAAATTCAAAATTTGATTGCCAACATTTTTTTATCATTTTTGGAGCTCCGCAGTACAATGCTTAGATCCCCAGTGAACGAAAAAAAAAAAAAAAAGAACTGTGAAATTGCAGCACAAAAAAAATGGTATAGAAAAGGGCCAGCCTCCAAAGAGGAAGTTTCAATATGACCCAAGGTTATAGGTACAGAATTAACACATCCATTGAATCCAAGTTTTGGTTGCCAAAATTTTTTTTATCATTTTTGGAGCTCTGCAGTACAATGCTTAGATCCCAGTGAACAAAAAAAAAGTGAACCATGAAATGGCAGCAAAAAAAAACCCCCAAAAAAATGGTATAAAAAGGGCCAGCCTCCAAAGAGGAGTTTCAATGTGACCCAAGGTTATAGGCACAGCATTAACACAATTGAATCCAAATTTTGGTTGCCAAAATTTTTTTTTATCATTTTCGGAGCTCTGCAGTACAATAATTAGATCCCCAGTGAACAAAAAAAAAGTGAACCGTGAAATTGCAGCACTCCAAAAATGGTATAGAAAAAGGGCCAGCCTTCAAAGAGGAAGTTTCAATATGACCCAAGGTTCTAGGCACAGCATTAAACACATCCATTGAATCCAAATTTTGGTTGCCAAATTTTTCTTATCATTTTTGGAGCCTCATTTTCGGAGCTCCGCAGTACAATAATATAGGGCCATCCAAAGAGGAAGTTTCATATGAAGGTTCTAGGCACAGAATTAAAACATCCATTGAATCCAAATTTGGTTGCCAAAATGTTTTCATCATTTTCGGAGCTCCGCAGTACAATAATTAGATCCCCAGTGAACCAAAAAAAAAAGTGAAAAATTGCAGCACAAAAAAAAGCGCAAAATTGGTATAGAAAATGGCCAGCCTCCAAAGAGTAAGTTTCAATGTGACCCAAGGTTATAGGCACAACATTAACACATCCATTGAATCCAAAGTTTGGTCACCAATTTTTTTTTAATAGTTTTCAGAGCTCTGCAGTACATTGATTTGATCCCCAGTGAACAAAAAAAAAGTGAACCGTGAAATTGCAGCACAAAAAAAAGAGCAAAAAGGTAAAGAAAAGGACCAGTCTCCAAAGAGGAAGCCCTGAAACCCCAGAGTGCAATACTCCTGACAGGGGCAAGGCATGCTCTGGTCTACCATGGCCGAAGCTGAGTGGGTCCTGCTCCCTTAACCCCTTGGTGCCGACGTCACACAAATATGCGGTCTCAGAGAACTGGGCTTTTTTTGTGGGCCAAATATTTGCGTACCTGTCTTTGTGCTGGGAGCGCGCCGTAATAATCTTGACGTGTTTCATATAACAATGTTCACGTCTTCAGGAGATGATGACATCCAGATATATTTCTGTAGAGAGACCATGTCCTTAAAGTGTTACTAAACCCTGGACCCCGCATTCACTATATCCGCTCTCCCCGGACCCTGCACTCACTATATCCGCTCTCCCGGACCCGCATTCACTATATCCGCTCTCCCCGGACCCCGCATTCACTATATCCGCTCTCCCCAGACCCCGCATTCACTATATCCGCTCTCCCCGGACCCCGCATTCACTATATCCGCTCTCCCCGGACCCCGCTTTCACTATATCTGCTCTCCCGGACCCCGCATTCACTATATCCGCTCTCCCCGGACCCCGCATTCCCTATATCCGCTCTCTCCGGACCCTGCATTCACTATATCCGCTCTCCCCGGACCCTGCATTCACTATATCCGGTCTCCCCGAACCCTGCATTTACTATATCCGGTCTCCCCGGACCCCGCATTCACTATATCCGCTCTCCCCGGACCCTGCACTCACTATATCCGCTCTCCCCGGACCCGCATTCACTATATCCGCTCTCCCCGGACCCCGCATTCACTATATCCGCTCTCCCCAGACCCCGCATTCACTATATCCGCTCTCCCCGGACCCCGCATTCACTATATCCGCTCTCCCCGGACCCCGCATTCACTATATCCGCTCTCCCCGGACCCCGCATTCCCTATATATCCGCTCTCCCCGGACCCCGCATTCACTATATCCGCTCTCCCCGGACCCTGCATTCACTATATCCGGTCTCCCCGAACCCTGCATTTACTATATCCGGTCTCCCCGGACCCCGCATTCACTATATCCGCTCTCCCCGGACCCTGCATTCACTATATCCGCTCTCCCCGGACCCCGCATTCACTATATCCGCTCTCCCCGGACCCTGCTTTCACTATATCCGCTCTCCCCGGACCCTGCATTCACTATATCCGCTCTCCCCGGACCCTGCATTCACTATATCCGCTCTCCCCGGACCCCGCATTCACTATATCCGCTCTCCCCGGACCCTGCATTCACTATATCCGGTCTCCCAGGACCCTGCATTCACTATATCTGGTCTCCCCGGACCCTGCATTCACTATATCCGCTCTCCCCGGACCCTGCATTCACTATATCCGCTCTCCCCGGGACCCTGCATTCACTATATCCGCTCTCCCCGGACCCCGCATTCACTATATCTGCTCTCCCCGGACCCTGCATTCACTATATCCGCTCTCCCGGGACCCTGCATTCACTATATCCGCTCTCCCCGGACCCTGCATTCACTATATCCGCTCTCCGCAGACCCTGCATTCCCTATATCCGCTCTCCCCGGACCCTGCATTCACTATATCCGCTCTCCCCTGGACCCTGCATTCACTATATCCGCTCTCCCCGGACCCTGCATTCACTATATCCGCTCTCCCGGGACCCCTGCATTCACTATATCCGCTCTCCCGGACCCTGCATTCACTATATCCGCTCTCCCCGGACCCTGCATTCACTATATCCGCTCTCCCGGGACCCTGCATTCACTATATCCGCTCTCTCCCCGGACCCTGCATTCACATATCCGCTCTCCCCGGACCCTGCATTCCCTATATCCGCTCTCCCAGGACCCCCGCATTCCTATATCCGCTCTCCCAGGACCCCGCATTCACTAAATCCGCTCTCCCCGATCCCTGCATTCACTATATCCGCTCTTCCAGGACCCTGCATTCACTATATGCACTCTCCCCGGACCCTGCATTCACTATATGCACGCTCCCCGGACCCTGCATTCACTATATCCGCTCTCCCCGGACCCTGCATTCACTATATTTGGTCTCCCCAGACCCTGCATTCGCTATATCCGGTCTCCCCGGACCCCGCATTCACTATATCCGCTCTCCCTGGACCCTGCATTCGCTATATTTGGTCTCTCCCCGGACCCCGCATTCACTATATCTGCTCTCCCCGGACCCTGCTTTCACTATATCCGCTCTCCCCGGACCCCGCATTCACTATATCCGCTCTCCCCGGACCCTGCATTCACTATATCGGTCTCCCAGGACCCTGCATTCACTATATCTGGTCTCCCCGGACCCTGCATTCACTATATCGCTCTCCCCGGACCCTGCATTCACTATATCCGCTCTCCCCGGACCCTGCATTCACTATATCCGCTCTCCCCGGACCCCGCATTCACTATATCTGCTCTCCCCGGACCCTGCATTCACTATATCCGCTCTCCCCGGGACCCTGCATTCACTATATCCGCTCTCCCCCGGACCCTGCATTCACTATATCTGCTCTCCGCAGACCCTGCATTCCTAATCCGCTCTCCCCGGACCCTGCATTCACTATATCCGCTCTCCCTGGACCCTGCATTCACTATATCCGCTCTCCCCGGACCCTGCATTCACTATATCCGCTCTCCCGGGACCCTGCATTCACTATATCCGCTCTCCCCGGACCCTGCATTCACTATATCCGCTCTCCGGACCCTGCATTCACTATATCCGCTCTCCCCGGACCCTGCATTCACTATATCCGCTCTCCCCGGACCCTGCATTCACTATATCCGCTCTCCCCGCAGACCCTGCATTCACTATATCCGCTCTCCCAGGACCCCCGCATTCCCTATATCCGCTCTCCCAGGACCCCGCATTCACTAAATCCGCTCCCCGATCCCTGCATTCACTATATCCGCTCTCCCCAGCACCCTGCATTCACTATATGCACTCTCCCCGGACCCTGCATTCACTATATGCACTCTCCCCGGACCCTGCATTCACTATATGCACTCTCCCCGGACCCTGCATTCACTATATATCCGCTCTCCCCGGACCCTGCATTCGCTATATTGGTCTCTCCCCGGACCCTGCATTCACTATATCCGGTCTCCCGGACCCTGCCCCGGACCCCGCATTCACTATATCCGCTCTCCCTGGACCCTGCATTCACTATATTTGGCTCTCCCCGGACCCTGCATTCGCTATATCCGGTCTCCCCGAACCCTGCATTCACTATATCCGCTCTCCCCGGACCCGGCATTCACTATATCTGGTCTCCCCGGACCCCGCATTCACTATATCTGGTCTCCCCGGACCCTGCATTCACTATATCTGGTCTCCCCGGACCCTGCATTCACTATATCCACTCTCCAGGACCCTGCATTCACTATATTTGGTCTCCCCGGACCCTGCATTCACTATATTTGGTCTCCCCAGACCCTGCATTCACTATATTTGGTCTCCCCGGACTCTGCATTCACTATATCCGTTCCCCCCGAACCCTGCATTCCACTATATCCGCTCTCCCCGGACCCCGCATTCACTATATTCTGTCCGCTCTCCCCGGACCCCGCATTCACTATATCTTGTCTCCCCGGACCCCGCATTCCCTATATTCGCTCTCCCCGGACCCCGCATTCACTATATCCGCTCTCCCCGGACCCTGCATTCACTATATCTTGTCTCCCCGGACCCCGCATTCACTATATCCAGTCTCCCCGGACCCCGCATTCACTATATCCGCTCTCCAGGGACCCTGCATTCACTGTATTTGGTCTCCCGGACCCTGCATTTGCTATTTTTGGTCTCCCCAGACCCTGCATTCACTATATCTGGTCTCCCCGGACTCTGCATTCACTATATCCGTTTCCCCCGAACCCTGCATTCCCTATATCCTGCTCTCCCCGGACCCCGCATTCACTATATCCGCTCTCTCCCCGGACCCCGCATTCACTATATCTTGTCTCCCCGGACCCCGCATTCACTATATCCGCTCTCCCCGGACCCTGCATTCACTATATCCGCTCTCCCCGGACCCTGCATTCACTATATTTGGTCTCCCCGGACTCTGCATTCACTATATCCGTTCCCCCCGAACCCTGCATTCCCTATATCCGCTCTCCCCGGACCCCGCATTCACTATATCCGCTCTCTCCCCGGACCCCGCATTCACTATATCTTGTCTCCCCGGACCCCGCATTCACTATATCCGCTCTCCCCGGACCCTGCATTCACTATATCCGCTCTCCCCGGACCCTGCATTCACTATATCTGCTCTCCCACAGTGCACACAACATGGAAATGCAATTATTTTAGTCCCATCAGCAGTATAGAGCAGTCTTGTGACTTCTATCAGTGTCCAGCAGAGCACTGGTTAAAGCTTGTAGGAGGAGTTTTCTTTCTGCTCTAGGACGATGCAGAACCCCTGACCTCTGTCTGAACAGTGCTGATTGGCCCTTTGCTGATCAAATGCACTCTCCCAGGAAAAAAATAAACCTCTCTACACACCAAACTAAGCATGTGCAGCTTGCCCCCAAGGCTCTGTTCTATCAACAGATGGATCGGGGACAGCAAAAGAAGGGGAGAATTAGAGAAGACAGAATCAAACAGCCTTTTTACACAATGCAGAGGATTAACCCCTTAGATTCCACAGTGAGTATAACAAGCATGCTTTACTGCATATATAGACTGATTGTATTGCTGGGGGTTCAGGAACACTTTAAGGATCAATAAATATATAATCAATGCATATTCATGGAAGACACTGTAATAGGAAACAATCATTCCGCAATCCCTGTTGTAGAAGCAATAATATCTACACATCCATAAAACAGGCTCTAGAGCACGGGTGTCAAACCGGCGGCCCTCTAGCTGTTACCAAACGACAAGTCCCATGAGGCATTGCAAGACTGGCAGTTACAAACATGACTCCAAAGGCAGAGGCATGATGGGACTTGTAGTTTCACAACAGCTGGGGGGGCCGCCAGTTTGACACCCCTGATCTAGAGTATCACAGGAACCATAAAACTACAATGTATTTATTTATATATTTTAGCAAATAGATTTTAAAACCATTTTCTGAGGTATTTACCGAACGTTTTGGGTTTTTGAAGTAAGTACCGCATGAAGGGATAGCGAACTGCCATTTTCAGCATCACATGCGATATATGGGGAAAATGTGTCAGATCACCTAAAGGCCACATGCGATTAGTGAATGGAGCCCAATACTTTTACCCTCTTCCTGCCCAGGCCAATTTTCCGGTTTCAGCGCTCTCACACTTTGAATGACAATTGCGCGGTCATACAACATTGTACCCAAACTAAAATTTTTATCATTTTGTTCACACGACTAGAGCTTTCTTTTGGTGGTATTTAATCACCGCCGGGGTTTTTATTTTTTGATAAATTAACAAAAAAAAGCCAAAAATTTTGAAAACAAACCCCACGTATTTCTTTGCTTCTGTTATAAAAGTTTGCAAATAAATAATTGTTCTTCATAAATTTAGGCCGAGATGTATTCTGCTACATGTCTTTGGTGAAAATAACCCAAAACAGTATTTGTTATTTAGTTTGTAGGAAAGTTATAGAGTTCACAAACTATGGTATAGATCTGAATATTGATCAATCCTGAAGTACTGACAGCCAATCTAATTTCTTGAGGTCCAAGAATGTCAGAACAGTACAGATATCTCCCAAATGTCAGAACAGTACAGATATCCCCCAAATGTCAGGACAGTACAGATATCCCCCAAATGTCAGAACAGTACAGTTATCCCCCAAACGTCAAAACAGTACAGATATCCCCCAAATGTCAGAACAGTACAGATATCCCCCAAGTGTCAGGACAGTACAGATATCCTTCAAATGTCAGGACAGTACAGAAATCCCCCAAATGTCAGGACAGTACAGATATCCCCCAAATGTCAGGACAGTACAGATATCCCCCAAATGTCAGAACAGTACAGATATCCCCCAAATGTCAGGATGGTACAGATATCCCCCAAGTGTCAGGACAGTACAGATATCCCCCAAGTGTCAGGACAGTACAGTACAGATATCCTTCAAATGTCAGGATAGTACAGAAATCCCCCAAATGTCAGGACAGTACAGATATCCCCCAAATGCCAGAACAGTACAGATATCCCCCAAATGTCAGGATGGTACAGATATCCCCCAAGTGTCAGGACAGTACAGATATCCCCCAAGTGTCAGAACGGTACAGATATCCCCCAAATGTCAGGATGGTACAGATATCCCCCCAAATGTCAGGACAGTACAGATATCCCCCAAATGTCAGAACGGTACAGATATCCCCCCAAATGTCAGAACGGTACAGATATCCCCCAAATGTCAGGATGGTACAGATAGCCCCCAAGTGTCAGGACAGTACAGATATCCCCCAAGTATCAGGACAGTACAGATATCCCCCAAGTGTCAGGACAGTACAGATATCCCCCAAATGTCAGAACAGTACAGATATCCCCCAAGTGTCAGGACAGTACAGATATCCTTCAAATGTCAGGACAGTACAGAAATCCCCCAAATGTCAGGACAGTACAGATATCCCCCAAATGTCAGGACAGTACAGATATCCCCCAAATGTCAGAACAGTACAGATATCCCCCCAAATTTCATGACAGGACAGATATCCCCCACATGTCAGAACAGTACAGATATCCCCCAAATGTCAAAACCGTGCAGATATCCCCCAAATGTCAGAACAGTACAGATACCCCCAAATGTCAGGACAGTACAGATATCCCCCAAATGTCGGGACAGTACAGATATCCCCCAAATGTCAGGAGAGTACAGATATCCCCCAAATATCAGAACAGTACAGATATCCCCCCAAATGTCAGAACAGTACAGATATCCCCCAAATGTCAGAACAGTACAGATATCCCACAAATGTCAGAACAGTACAGCTATCCCCCAAATATCAGAACAGTACAGAAATCCCCCAAATGTCGGAACAGTACAGATATCCCCCTAAATATCAGAACAGGACAGATATCCCCCAAATATCAGAACAGTACAGAAATCCCCCAAATGTCAGAACAGTAAGATATATCCCCTAAATGTCAGAACAGTACAGATATCCCCCAAATGTCAGAACAGTACAGATATCCCCCCAAATATCAGAACAGTACAGATATCCCCCAAATGTCAGAACAGTACAGATATATCCCCCAAATATCAGAACAGTACAGATATCCCCCAAATGTCAGAACAGTACAGATATCCCCCAAATGTCAGAAACAGTACAGATATCCCCCAAATGTCAGAACAGTACAGATATCCCCAAATATCAGAACAGTACAGATATCCCCCAAATGTCAACAACAGTACAGATATCCCCCCAAATGTCAGAACAGTACAGATATCCCCCAAATGTCAGGACAGTACAGATATCCCCCAAATGTCAGAAAACAGTACAGATATCCCCCAAATGTCAGAACAGTACAGATATCCCCCCCAAATGGGGAACAGTAGTACAGATATCCCCCCAAATGTAAGGACAGTACAGATAATCCCCCAAACGTCAGAACAGTACAGATATCCCCCCAAATGTCAGGGGGTACAGAGATCCCCCCAAATGCTTGAGGACAGTACAGATATTCCCCAAATGTCAGGACAGTTTACAGATATTTGTCCCCAAATGTCAGGACAGTAAGATATCCCCCAAAACGTCAGAACAAGTACAGATATCCCCCAAATGTCAGGACGGTACTAGGAGATCCCCAAATGTTAGGACAGTACAGATATCCCCCAAATGTCAGAACAGCACCTCGTATCCCCCAAATGTCAGGACAGTACAGATATCCCCCAAATTACCCCTTTTTGCAAAGCAGGGGACAGCCCGATATCACATGGCGAGCTATTTAAAGCCTGTAATTTTTTTGTACGTATTTTTCGGCCAAATGAAGAAATTAAAAAAATGATTTTCACTATTTTTTGTTTACTTAATGTCACCAGTGCAGTACAGCGTCATCATATAACTGGGATATGGTGTCCACCTGGAGGGACAAGCTGTTTCGCCCGACCCGGCCGCCATTTGACTATAGGCCAGGCGGCAACTGGTTGACACCCCGGTCGCACTGGATGCAAATTGGCATGCGACTTGCATGCCCTGCGACTTGCAAATCGCATGGCAAGTCGCCCCTTTTGTCCTCAAATGGTTTGCGGGTCTGACTTGGTCAGAGCCGCACTGATTTCTAAATTAGTACATGCACTACTTTTGGTGCGATTTGCATAGACATCTGTGTCAGATGTGGTGCAACTCTGGTCTGAAATCGGCATCTCACCCGACTTTGAAATCCTGCAACTTCACTGTAAGTCGCATGATTTCAAAGTCGGGTGTGATGTGACCGGGGGTGTCCTCGGGAGTTCTCCTTTAAAGAAAATGGATGTCCTATATATTATTATATTTACAGGTA